AATCACATCCTTTTTTATCTTCCTAATAAAATCCATTTCATATCATCACAATAGCGAACAATGAAATCAAGTACATTGCCATGTCCGGTTGCACTGGCCGCCTGTGCACTATTCACCGAGGACGGCCGCTTATACTGGTGAGCGAGTTCACGGCCAACCAGGACAGCGACACTGCGCAAATAGTGATGACCGCTTCGGTGGGCACCACCACGATGATCGTTCCCGGAATTGACGCTGACGGCTGCAGCAACGGCCACATGAGGTGTCCGTTGAAGAAGGGGCAAACAGTGAAATTCACCTACAACTTTGTCATTCCGAGAATGCTTCCGCTGGTCAGGTCGACGACTACGGCGAAACTGATTGGCGAGAAAGGAGTGCTCACTTGCTTCAAGATGAACTTTAATGTCGTCGATCAATGGGGATACTAATAAAGTAAAAAATGTATGATTTTAGTTGTTTTAGGTAGACTGTGAACTCAGTTTTCAGCTTAGCTCTGTTGGGCTGTGTTGGCAAAGCACAGCAAAAATTAAATAAAGGAAAATAAGATGATACCAACTGCTGAGATAATAATAAAGTTATACTAAAAGCACAGCAATTGATGTTTGGCTNAATGGGGATACTAATAAAGTAAAAAATGTATGATTTTAGTTGTTTTAGGTAGACTGTGAACTCAGTTTTCAGCTTAGCTCTGTTGGGCTGTGTTGGCAAAGCACAGCAAAAATTAAATAAAGGAAAATAAGATGATACCAACTGCTGAGATAATAATAAAGTTATACTAAAAGCACAGCAATTGATGTTTGGCAGTGGCTGCGGCAGCACCTCTAAGTGCATGTTTTGATGCTGTGATAAGCTCATTTTGTCATTCACAACCATCACCACCGGCACTTCTCTCCACGGGGACTGCCGTACTTTGAATTGGCTGCGCATAAAACGCTCTACACTGCTTTGCCGGCACATTTAACTGCTGTTGTTGTTGTATTGACTTGTTCAAAAACGCTTAAAAAACTTGTTTTGCACTACTAACAACTGAAGGAAAACATGGCATCCAAGTACCTGCTTCAGTCAACCGGATCAACTTTTTTGAAAAGCCAAACTCGACTGTTCAGCCAAACTAACCCACTGAATCGAGTGGAAAATGTCATCATTCTGGGTTCAGGTTAGTGTTCAAGCTAGTATTTTTTTCAATTTGTAATAAATTTAATAACGATTTTGCATTACTTTCAGGTTTGATGGGCAGCGGTATTGCCCAGTCTTGTGCCACTACTGGCAAGTTTAACTCAATCGTCCTGCAGGACGTCAACCAGAAAGTGTTGGACAATGCACAGGCAAAGATCACCCAGTCGCTGACAAAACTTCAGCAGCTTAAAAAGGTTCAACTGGACAAATCGCCTGAGGAGGTTGCTTCCCGAATCACGTTGAGCACTGAGGTGAAACCAGTTTCGGACCAGAATTTACTCATAATCGAAGCAGTTCCGGAGATAATTGAACTGAAACAGAAAATCTTCAAGAGCTTATCGTAAGTAGACTGTTTTGTTTTTCAAAGTGAAACTTAAATATTATTTTTTTAAAGTGACCAGTTCAGCGGCAACTCTTCGGTCATCCTCGCCACCAACACCTCCTCACTGCCCTGTCG